GCTGGGAATAAAATCTTAAGATTTGTGACTGTCCTCTGTCCTGCTCCAACTGACAAACTCACTGTTGTATGTAGACTGAAAAATGGGCTTTTCATTCTGCCATTATGTAAGATCTATCACTGCAAGATGTGAGCTGTTCTAGAATCAGCAATGGAAGAAAATGACTGGTTTAGACTCTTTGCTATGAGGATATGGTAAAGTAATGCACAAGATAGGATTCCTGATGGTAATTTCATGGTGATACAGTAACAGAGTTTCCACAAGAGACAAACTTAATAAAATACAGCTGTCTATCCATCTTTTACGTTGGAATCTGCTCCATGCCATACTCTGCTTCATAATATGCTGCTACTACCTTGTACAACATGCTTCTGAACTAGGTATTTCCAGGGAATCCTTGCTTAAGCTTGTCCTGTTAATTTACTACAGCTTTCTAAGTTCTGACTGCCTCTTCTGCTTCAGATCCAGGCCTACGTGATGTGCAACAAGTTGCGTTCTGCCTATCTAGTCTCGGTGAGACAGGAGAAGACCCGAGCAGTGCAGCTAGTCCAGCATGTGCGACAGCTGGCTGAGAACAGCGGAGATGACGTTGTGAAGTCCATCTGTGCCCAGTGGCTCTCAGTGCATCAGCCCAAAATGAGAAATCGGCTTCCCCAGGGCACCAGGAAGTAATAAGTAATTGACATTCACCATCATACAGAAGGGGAAGGCTTCAAGACAGCTTCAAGGTGTGTGGTTCAGCAATCTCTTGGTAAAATGGAAGTCTCTTGACTGATGTTGGTGGCAAATGGATGCTGCTAATGTGCCTCTGGTGAAAGGAAGGGAACTAAATTACAAGTGCCAGTCCTGTATTTTGACAAACAGTCACTACCTCAGGGTGTTTTTTGGCTATCTCTTTGATGGGGGGCGGGGGGAGGGGCAGTTTCGAACTGAACAAGCAAGAACTTAGGTGTATGGAAGAGAGCACATCTGTTTCTGGTTTGGGGTTGGTTTTGTTGGTGGGTTTTGGGGTTTTTTTTCATTGATTTTATTTTTAAAGGCACTGAACTTCATGTTTTTTTTCATTGATTTTTTTTTTAAAGGCACTGAACTTCATGTTTTTTTTATTTTTAATCCAGAAAATCTATATAGAGAGGACAGAAAAATCTCATCAACTCAATGTAGCCTAGAGTATAAAACTTTTTGTGATTATGGGTTTCCTGTAAACTTTTTCAAGATTGAAGAGATCATCTTTTACAAAGACTGAAATTCAGAGATTTTTTTTTAAGCCTCTATACAATATATATTGCTATATATATTATACAATATATATCTATATATATTGCTACTCTTCCCCCACACACACACACACTAGTACAATGTGCCCAATTTCTTTAGTTCATTTGACAGGGTAGGAACTGATTCTTCATGGCAGGTTTCTCCTTACCAGTCACACTGTCTGATGTGTGCCATGCATATGGCACTTGAGCCCTTACTAGATGGATGAAGTTACAAAGGGCATATCCTGTAAGGGGAGTACAAAGGGAAAATAATCCTTTAAAATAGTTGAAAAATCACGTACTTCTTTGCTATGGTAATATCCAATCAATTGTTGCGATGCAGCTTTATCACTGAACAGTTGCCAGTAAAATTCCACAGTTTTTCATCAGGTATAGCAGACAATATGGATAGAGCAAGCTGTGGTAAAATTCAAGAGGCGGTCTGTATCCCTGTCACACAGGGATTTGTTTGTTTCTTACCAGCATAATCTGTCCCTGTCAGGTACAATAGAACACCAGACTAAATTTTTATTAACTGGACATACTGTATAGACTATATTGATACGCTTTGCTCTGGAAGTGTTAGGTTAATTCAGTTTTATGAAAAGCAGGAATCTTTGTGTAATGGCTGTGTTCAGGGATGCTGAAAAAAGCAGCTGCTTCTCTGCAGCCATGATTGGGAGATGAGAAATGGGCAGAAGAATGGCAGACAGCAGTAGGACCTTCAAAAAGAAACAGAAGAAAAGATGGCACTCCACAAGAGCTCGTGTTTGCTGTTTACATGTATTTCAGCACAAGAGGTAGGAAAACTAGTTCACTTTTTTGTTAGAAAGTTTAGTTGTTTACTTCGAAAGAAACAACAGGTTTTCTGAAGTGTAATATAACTGTAAATAGTTTTAGCACATAAAATAATTGAGACTGTCAAATAAGAGTTTTGCACTATCCTAAGCCCGCTGTCGTGACAGAACAGACTTCCATGGTACTGGAAGGGACTTGGTGCATCTCCTGAAGTGTTTCCTGAGCAGTGCCGCACTGACACAAACACCTCTCTTGGAGGTGCTCTGCTCATTAGAGCAGGGCTAGAAATGTCTCGGAGTGAAGCAGTGAGAAATGACCACGTTTAGCTTTCACAATCTCCTGACCACAGATTTGCATTATCTCATTAGTGAGCAGTACTAATGAAAGCTGCTTTTGTTTTCTTGGCCAGACTGACCTGGCTTTCCATCAGATTACAGCTGTTAGGCTAGTCCTAAAACATGACACTATCCATGTCTTTGATCATTTCCAAATCTCTAATTATGGGGAGGAGGTTTTACTGCTTGTGGGTATCCAGATCTGTGTGGCTGTAATACCTGCTTTTCTGCTTGAGTTCCTCCAGCTGTGTAGAGCACAGAGAGTGGAGTTTGCCATGCAGACCAGTCAGTTCCGTACCTGCCTTTCTTCCTGACCTCTTTGCACTGTACCTGATGCACTTTATATAGTGTTTGTTGTAATTTGATGTTCTTAACCTGGAATCGTAGGGATCTCTCTCTTACCAGCAGAACTGGAATTTTGATCCTGACTAACTAACTGCCTTGCGTCACGAATAGTGCAATTATCAAGGGGCTTTGAATTTCTGAGCATCAAAAAGGGATTGAGTACTGCCAGTTAAAAAGAACTTCTCTATTAATGACCAAGGTTTGTTTACAATGAAAAAAGAGAATAAAGTATTATGACTGTTAACGTATCTTCTGTTTGCTTTTTATCTCAGCATAGCTGGGGATCTCTTTCTAGATCTGTATTTTGCTTTTGGCTATGCTTAGCAGAGTAATTAGAAGGGGGAGAATTGTCATGCAAAATCTCTGCTACGGTGTCCTCGACACTGAGATCAATTGGAGTATCGCATCTTTAGAAGTCCTCCCGGTAGCTGGCTCAGCCTCATGCATGTACTCTCACAAACGAGTAATCCTCGTTAGAGAGCTTTGCAAGTTAATCTAACTTTCCCTTGCAAGCCTCCCTTTGAGACAGCTAAATGAGCTTTAGTTCCCTCATTTATAGATCAGCCTAGAAGAAGGCTTGCCCAAGGTCAAAAAGAGAGGGTGTGTGTCTGTTGAAATGTGTGGTTATATGTCTTATGTTAAATCTACAACCAGACTTCTTTGAGAAGAGCATTGACCTGCAAGGGCAAAATATTTCAGCCTAGAGACGCTTTTCAGCCTTTTTAAAAATGGTTTCTATTGCTCCTGAAAGCCGCTTTCAGGATCAGAGAATCACACACAGAGAAAGCAGGCGAAGCCTGCAATGCTAGGTAGCCTTCTACTGCTACGTTGTAGTTGTGGCTTTAGCTTCATATTCCAGAGGAAGCATAAAGAGGGAAGAAAAAAGGTAGAGTGACAGGGAGAAACACAAGGGGACTTCAAAATGTTACCCAAACTGAGTTCTCTAAATTAGTAAGGCAGGTGCAGGTAACAGCAATGCTAAATAAACTGATTCAACATTTCTGAAGGAAGATGTGGTCTCCTGTTGTAACAGGAAAAGGCCTTTATTTAGTACTGCTCAGAGGCAGCACAGGACTGATCTGCATAGCTTGCATCCAGGCAGAAAGAATTAATCATAAAATTAGCATTTGTTTCCCAAAACTGGCAGTTGGTCCAGTGGTACGCTCATATGCAAGTCCAAAAACTTCCAGATTTTTTCTTCAGAAGCAGCAGATGATCCTATGAGCTGTGGCACTGGTTTTCTAACTGCTGAACTCCTTCAGAAATCATCTCGGATTACGGATCACACTCTAGCAGTCTGCACCGAAGTGGCGCTAGAGTTCCAAGAGAGCAGTCCCGGTACTCTGTGGACTGACCCTGCTGCCGTTTGGAAATGCAGGCTGCATGGTACTGCAAGGCCAGGCTGGGCCAGCCAAGGCCAGTAACTGCTGGGCAGACAAACGTAAGGGTTTCTGTGCAAGCCTTACTTTCCTGTCCCGTAGCTAACTTGACCACAAGATCAAGAGAGTCCCAACCTCTGCTTCAGCTATTTAGCTCTAGGTAGTTTGCTGTCATTTAAAGCTAAAGTCTCAGCTGAAGTTGTTTAATGTTTTTAACATAGCTGAGATGTTATTTACTCATTCTGCTTTCTTTTCTAGGTTCTGAAGTCATTTAAAGTGCAGCTGGGGGGTTTATTGTGACAACTTTTACACCATCTTTGCTCAATGCTTATTTTTTTTTAATAAGATAACTTGCCTACGCACAATTGTGGCACTCCTGCAGCTTTTAACCTCCCAGTCACCTGCACTGAGACCTGGGTTCTCAAAAGATATGCCAACCCTCAGTTAACTTACTGCAATCAACGGGCCTTTGGGGCAAAGACACTTCAGTGGCTAGGGTCCAGCTTCTTACAGAGAATATAGAGAAAAAGAATTGATTCTGCTTAAAAACTTTACCTAACGCTTGGCACAAAAAGGCCAGCACCTGTTTCTGTGTGCTTGAGAGCATTTGTATGGCATGTAATTGCCAGAAAATCTAATATCCTCAAGTACTTTCACTCTACCAGGTGAAATAGTAGGAATGGAAAATAACCTCATAGATCACAAGTTGAGAGTCCTACCTTTTTACTATTACTGTTAGGAAAAAAACTTTAAATAGAGGTAATTCTTTGTTACTTCATAATCTAACCCTAAGACTGCAACCTCCATTTCTATTCTAAAGCCAGAGAACAATAGCCTCTGGCTGTTGTGTGAAATACCAAGCAAAGGTTGCTCCCTGCATCAGTGCTCTAATTCTCCAGCTAGGAAGTGGGACTGGTTGCTTGCAAATCTCAATCCTTAAGTGTAATATTCTAGAAACTGAAGTTAGATTGTGTCCACAGAACCATCATTAGGGCAGCTGAAGTATCAGCGTTCCAGTCTTGAGGTCTCTCAGCAGTGCTCTTCCCAGGAGAAGCATTGCGGGGCTCAGCCAGGTACACAGTTGAGGTTTGCACTGCTCAGTCCCACTGGATGCCGAGGAGCTCGCAGCTCATACTCCAGAGCTTCTTTGCTGTCTCATCATCCCGACCCCGTGGAGATACATATGCTGGCTGGCAATCACTGTAAGAGGAACATTTTTTAATCTTTTTTTTAAGTCAAAGATCTCCATCTGCATTAGCACACTGAAATGTCTGTGTTAAGATAAGGGGGTTGTTTTCTATCAGCCTAACTTCAAGACCAGTTGAAGAAGGGTGCGAGGCTAGCCAGCAAATGAGCAAGGGTTGGTGCTAAGCCACCTTGAGAAAGCTTTCCTTCCAGCTGGCTAGGGAAGAGTCTCTCTCCAAATGGCACCAAGAACGAGCAAGCAAGTCTGGCTTTATCTGTTGTCTCAACTCTTAAAGAAACCTATATATGCTCTACTACATACTCTTCAGCGTGCATTCTCATTATTAGCCCTTTTTAGTGGTATGAACGTTAACCAAGCTTCTTCAGGGGCACCTTTTCTAGCAAACGCTACAAAAAAGCCACTCAAACAGCCCTTCATTCTAAACTATTTATCCCATCCTATTCATCCCACTACATTGCCATTGCACGAAAGGCAAAGCTGCCCCAGAATAATACTGTAATACCCAGGTATAGTTATCCCCTTTTCCATTATCCCCTGAACTGTGGCTCCTTTCTTCTCCGCTCCTGCAATCAGACAGCACTCTGTCTGGAACAGAGATCATGGGTTCCCATCTGTAATGCCAGATGCTGCAATAACATGGGAGTTTAAGAGAACGGAGGAAATAATTGCATCTCCTAAGATTTCTATCCAGCCTAGGGTTTTTAGAGCTCCAAATGCAGAGTCTCTGATGTTCCTGAAATTACTCTGGTGGACTCCCTCTGTCTTGCTGTGGCATGCAAATTCTTTTCTTAATGTCTATACTTGTGCTTTATATTCTATTGCCTGGAAAGTGAAAAGGATTTTAGGCTGGTCCAATGTAAATTGTGAATTACTGCTGAAGCTGTTCATTTCCCACCAAGTCCAAAACTCCTTTCTTTTATGAGTTTAAAATCCACCAAAGTTTCCTGTACTCCAGCACATTAATGCTCCATTTATATCCTGGGACAGACAGTCATCCACGGAAGATTAAGACATCTATTTATATACTGAAGTCTGATTAAGGTGGTTCAAACTCCCAAGTGAAGATCAGACAAAGTCATTACAGAGACTAATCTGGTCACATATCACAAGAGGAAAGCTCTGCAAAGACACAAAGGCTCCAATAGTAAAATGGTACTGTTACACTGCTCTGCACCCGGTGGGAAGCTGACGGACACATCTGCATGAATCTGTTCAAATGGTGGTCTTCAAATCTAGGATGATGATGACTTGGGAACTGCTCTGGGCTGTTGTTTTGGTGAGGGGAAAAGGCACGACTATGCAGGCTCCTGGAGTAAGTCAAAGAAGTCAAGAAACAACAGGGTTTGTAGTGGGAGCTACACAAGACTGGATGCGGGACAGAGTGATAAGCATCCCAGCAGGAGTCCCTCCCAGCTGGTGGGTCTGTCACACTGGAGAATCAAGTTATCTTGTCACATGCCAGTCCTGAAAATCTCACCTCCTAGCTCTGCAGCACCACCAGCCCTCCCAGCTCTCTGGGAGCACAGGCCCCTTCTGCTCCAGTTGGGTAAAACTACAAAGAGAACCAAAGTGGCCTTCCCAGGATTGACTCAAATGACCTTATCAACTAAACAGCTCTACTGAAAAGTGATTTGCCCAAGCCTCAGGCAGATCAGGATTAGTGCTCTGCATGTGACAGCTGTTTCTGCACTTTGAGTACAGGGGTATTCCTAGCACTAAAGGACCTGCTACTGTGTGAAGTGTTACACAGGTCAGGGATTTCTTCTTACACAATATCGACTGCAACAGACCTGGAAGGGGTAATGCTCTAGTATTTGTCACCCTCAATCTTATCAGCCAGCCTCTTACCCAGTCCCTTCTTAATGAAGAATGACAGTAAGTCTCCTTTTCCGCAGCCAATAAGGTTGCCTTCCACAGTATATCACTCCATCAGCTTGCACCCACCTGAAATACTGTCCTGTCACGGAGTCTAGCTCCTCTGCTACTGCACAGTAGACACTGGTCTGAGCTCCTTCCTGAGGTGTCTTCAAGAGGAATGAGAACGTATTCCACAGCCACGTCATTACAAATGAGTGCTGGACCAGCTCAGAATGGACACAACCAGGATGGAGAGCATTTGCTGTGACTTTAGTGCCTATAGCAAAAGAAAATAGTCTGGGACAAATCTGCATGCATCAAACTGCCTTTAAAAAAAAAAAAGGGTAATATACCCCTCAATTCTACCTGCAGATATTCTACAACATAAAGGAGGAGTCCAGGCATGGATACAGGGAGAATAAGTGAAGTCCTCTGCAGTTACTGCTTGCTGGAGCATCCCTGCTCCCTTCCAAACACTGCAGTCGCTACATGCCTTCTGCAAAACAATGTGCTAGAGGGCCTGGGTGCTAAAACAGCAGCAGTTTCCATCAGCCTTTCAAGAACACCAGCTTCTTTTGATTTACTATTTTCCTAGAGAAGACACTGCTTCTGTTTTAGTAAAATAAATATTACTTAAGTATGTAGTCACATGGCTGTGACAGATGTTGTGAGTTAAGAGGTACTGCCTAGTCCTATGCTTCCGTTCTACAGGCCATCAACATTTAAGACAGCTGAGTATGCATTAGCTTTTCTACTGGAGACTGCAATTGTAGTTCAGCTCCTTCTGTTTTTTCAGCTTCCACCCACACACCACAATTGTCTGTGTGGATGCAGCTAGTTTTTGACAAGCACCAACATTCAACTGCGCCAAGCTACTAAACTCCTCTGCCCTGTGGTTGTAAAGACAATTAGTGTGTTAAGTCTCCTGGTTCCACAGACAGGGGATGTTTTCTTCCTGCAAAGAGCTATCAGTGACCATTGCCTCAAACCATTTCATTTCTGCATAGCCAATTTGCAGACCTTTCTTCAATCCACTCTCCTCATCCGTGGTGCTCAAAAGCCAAGCAGAAAAACACTCTGCTCTCCTCTGGGACTTGCCTTGCAGCCGCCTTGCCAGCTCACGGGTGAAGAGCACGTTAGCCAATTTGCTGTGACAGTAGGCGAGGCCACGATTGTAGCTCTTCTCACCATGGAGATCATGGAAGCGGATTCGGCCTCCGTGATGAGCCAGTGAGGACACATTCACTATGCGGGCTGGGGCAGACTGCTTCAGACGCTCCAGCAATAGGAAGGTCAAGAGAAAATGACCTAGGGATGAGAGGAAACATCATCCTTCTCTGAAGCGTTCCCCTGCTGGAATTTCGAAGTACTTACAACATATTACTTACAATGTTATATCTCACTGCTGCCCTCATTTCAAGTCCAGGGAAAAGAAGACCCCCCCCCCCCGAATCAACAGCTAAACTTTTTTGGGGCCATTAAGTTCTGCTCCTCACCTTCAAAAAGCTGGAGCTGTCATACATTTCAAATGTCCCCGGTAACAGGTACAGGTACTTAAACTGGGTCCATGATAAGAAAATACATTGCATTGCATTTCCAGAACTCTAACTCTGGCCTTCCATCCTTCCCCAAGAAGGAAGGATGAGGAAGAGAAAATCTGAAAGCAGGATTTTCCTCTGCCATTTTGCCACAGATACTGAATGCAAACATGACTCCAGTAGCCTTACCGAGATGATTGACTCCCAGGTGCATCTCAAAGCCATCAGCAGTCTTGGAGTAAGGGCATAACATTATCCCAGCGTTATTAATGAGAATATGGAGTTCCTTCTCCTCTGCAAGAAACAACAGACATTCTTAAATAGGGAAACAGAGACCAAAGAGAGACAAGAAGGTGACACAAGTTGGCCAAAAAAACCCACGCCTGAGTTGCAGCCACATCGCCTCAATAAAATAAGTCTCCTACCACAAACTAGCTTATGGCCTCTGACACGGCCCTGCTGTGAACCGTAGTACCCAACATGGTAGAGAGGTATGCAGGTCAGGGATTTGGCATTTGCTAGAAGAGCAGACAGCAGTGCTTGGTAAAATATTCTCACTGAAAAGAAGGATCTAGAGACTGTACCTGCTAGAAATTTCTCAGCAAACTCCCGGATGGACTTTGTATCAGCCAAGTCCACTTTCTTCACAATGACTTGCTGGTTCCCTGTGTCAGCTCGGATTTCACTGGCTGCAGCTTCTCCCTTTGCTACGTCTCTGCAAGCGACAATCACCCTCGCACCTGCAAGGGGCGGGGGCGAAGCAGGAACAGAAGCTGAGATCACTGGAGCACACTGGATGATCGAGGCTATGGCAAGCACGCTGACTACGCACAGTGCTTACAAACAATGTATTGTGTTCTTTCGGGAATTGGCATCAGTCAGGGGAGCAGCTGGGAGGGACAAAGCCTTTCTTACTATGTTGTTAGCTCCGATCCAGCCCAAAGCTGTTTTCAGACCAGGAAAATGCACTTCTGAAGTGCCTCTGTCCAGGTTCTCCCAGGTCAGGAGCGTGTACCACAGGGTTCTATCTGCCCCTATAATGGGAACGTCAAGCCAGGAGCACGTGAAGATACTTGGATTCCAGCCAGAGTAATTTCTAAATGGATTGCGAACAGGTAGTTTAATCTCCTTAACAGCCACCCAAAAAGCATTTAAACCAAAGTAGCTTGAAACATGAATAACTAAAGCACACAGCAGCGGACCTGTGGCATTTCCCAGCTTCACGCAAGCAGAACCCAGCGATACCAGGAACTTGCCCAGTCCTCTCAAAACAGTTGCAGTGCAGAGCATTTTCATGTCACAAGACACACTGCTGGCGTCCAAGCAACGAAGCCAGCTGAGGAACTGGGGACTTGCACCTAAGCGGTTACAGCCTCTGGAGAAGCAACGCTTGGGCTCGCCTGAAATAACTCTGGAATCCAACTCACGTAAAGGTGAGCGTAAAATACTCCTCCCTTGGATCCAGAAAAGGGACTACGGATGCACAGGCACGCGCACATCAGCCGCACGGGGATGCCTGCTGGTGAAGGCCGGCCACTTGCCTCGTCGCGCCAGGTCTCTGGCAGTCTCCTTCCCGATGCCTGTGTTGGCTCCCGTGATTATCACCACCTTCCCCTCCAGCTTAGCTGTCGACTTACACTGTCCGCCAGCGACATACCTCCTGCAAGAGAGGGCGGCAGCGCTCACGGGAGGAGCTCGGGGGGCAGCTTCCCCCCCCCAGGGCACCCGGCTCGGAGGAAAGGAACCCGGCTCGGTCGCGCTCCCGCCAAACGGGC